GACGACGGTGTTCGCCATTCGAGCCGCGATAAGGTGAAAAATGTCTAGCGGGACACAGCAGCCTCTGGACGCCGGATTCATTTGTCACGGTCTAATGTCTCCGCGGGCTGGCCGCTTATCGCGTGATACAACGCGCCGCGACCATTTTATCGGTCGCGCGATGATCGCGGGATGGCGCCACGAACCTCGAGCCGTTCGTGAGAATTCCGTGGAATCCTGTACATCATCGCGCGTGGTGATCGTCCTCTAATTAACGCTGTTCACCCTGCCTCCGAGAATACTGAGCCGAGCTCTCGATGAACATTTTCGATTGAACTCGACGAATGTAAATGTTTGTTTAGTTTTAACCCTTTACTCGGAAGCCTTTCCGACGAGACAGGCGACTATTTGAAACGAACTAATGAGAAAACATAGGTAAATTAAGAAACTAAGCTATTTTATATGAATATTTCACGTATTGAAGCTTTATATATAATTTGATATTATATACAACACTTTGTAATTTTGTTATATCGAATTAAATGAGACCTCTCGAGTTCAGAGGGTTAATATGAATGAAGTACCTTGTCTATTGTTAATCTTTATTCTTTAGAGTAAACGTAGGCTTACTTGTATTACTGAATTGTTAACGATAAAGTAGTTCTATCAAAGATAACTGTGAAGCATAGGACAATGCGTCGAGTGTTAAGAGAATGTCGAGCGTTTTGTATGATAATTATTCTTTCGTGGCAAATGGTGGTGGGAATGATTAGTAATGATTTGGTATCACTCGTATTACGTAGTTAGTGATAAGTGAATGTTCTAACGAGAATCAGAATTGCCATACAGAAGAGCTTGATGTTGTTAATCGACGTTTGAACTCGTGTTTAATGAATGTATCGAATTAATTATAAACAAATGTTGAATTGGAAACGATGAACTGCACAACTGCATGTACACGGTGTGCAGTGTTGCAGGGAATTGCGTCCAAAAGTAAAAGACGTTACTTCAGACATCATCGGAGGTTATCACCTCGAATGAACGCAGAATTTTCTGTTTGTCCGAGGAACGTGCTGCGTTTATCAACATTTTCATCCACAAATAGAGAATACTGCGCAGAAAAGCTAGATTAATTGAGCGTATCACTGGCCGTGAAAGCCAGCCATTATCGGCTATTTTCCGCTTATCGTAATTCAATCCGACGGAACCAGGGAAATTATGAAATGTATGTAACACGTTGGTTCTAATGAACATTGTAGGTGTCTTGTAAAATCGTCTGTTCGACTAAACAGAAAAGTAGGCAGAAGGAAACTCGATCATTAGCGTTAAGCGACATACCTCAAGTTTTCTAGACAAATTCCGACTGAGAGAGAATTAGAGAGAAGATATGTCGACTGTTTTAACACTAGATCTACGGACGTTTATTCTATATTTGATTCATATAGGCCGCGAAAATTCAAGTTTCAAGAACAAAGAATTACAATGCGCATTCGCCTAATATATATTAAAAAAGATAATCTTTGAAAATTTCAATATCCATCAAATTGACGGGTTCCATAAATCCAGTCTCAAACTGTCGGCGACAGAAGCTTGTCCCGCAATGATAATAAACGTCAGTTTATCGCACACTTTTGGCAATAAATACGTTGGTTTCGACTATCTTGTTTATTCCATTACAACGTTCAAAGTTCCCAGCATAAACTAATTCAAGAAACGAACGCAGAAGACACGCGTGCTCGTAATTATCTTCAGAACGGCCGAAACGTCGAAGATTATGGGGACCCCATCAGTCGAAAGTGTCATCGAAGGTTATCGCCGAGAAAGTACAATTAAAACATCGCGAACCGTCGGACCTGCATTTTAGTAGCCTCCAAAAAGTCGTCGGGTCCACATTTTAGTAACCTGCGGAGAATCGTCGGCGTGACACCGCGGAGCGCGCCGGAAGCAGAGTCCATTTCGCGAGCGTCGATTTTAACCCGTGAACGATGAAGCAATGGATCCATTGGATCGCGATCGCGCTGAGCATACTCTGGACTTTAACGAGCGCCGCGCAAGGAAGCAGGATACTGAATTCGCGCAAAACGATAATTATCGCTCCAGTACATCATCCGGTCTGTCCGTACGGACAAAGACGGGATATGTATGGCAACTGCAGAAACGTGTATAAGAAGCGTTAGAACTCGCGAACCGATGGAGCTCGTCGAGGGAGCGCGCGATCGTTCCTTCCGGAAATCGGAGTCCGTTCCGTTCCTCGAAGAGAGTGCGCGCGATACCAATCTCCGGGGACCGACAAGCGAGCCCGTCGTATCGCGCGATAACAGTTTTTACTGGCATCGATACCCGCGCCGCCGATAAGGCGATCGTCCAGCGAGGCAAGGCCGGGCGCGGCCTCTCCGCTCCGGCACGCAGCTACCGTCGCGCCGACACAAGAACAACGTGCCGATCCGACGAGCGGCCGAGATCGGAATGCGACGGGCACCAGTGAAAATTCCGCGTTCCAACGGGAATCGGAAGTGTTCGTGACCGATAGAGAGTGAGCCCGCTCGCGCCTCGCGTGTAGGATCAAGGACGACCGTGGAAATTAAAGGCGAACGGTGTCGGTGGACTGTCAATCGGCGCTGGCCGACGCAGCGACTTTTTGCTTTGTCTCGCTGTTATGCGAGGAATTTTAGACGTAAGTTTGTCGCGCGACTGTACCAGGAGCATTCCGGTTTGTAATCGACAGTCAATTGCGACTCGCGTGCTCATCGAGGATTGTGGAAGTTAAAGGCGGACGGTGTTAGCGGTCGGCCGTTGCCAACCGATCTAGCGATTTTCCGCTTCCTCTTGGATTTTATTGGGGATCTGCGAGAGTTTTGAACCTAGTTTGCTGGACTGTTCGAGACGGATTCTCGTTTATATAATCGATTGCGAGTCGATCGCGACCCAAATCGCTGATCAGGGATTGTGGAAGTTGAAGGCGGACGATGTTAGTGGACTGCTGATCGTTGGATACGTTCTTTGTGGATGTTATTCGGAGGATAGGGGATCGAAGTTTGTTATATTGTGAGGGAGGGATTCCGATTTGCCAGGAATCGGTGAATTGTTTGCTCGCGGAAGAGTCAGTGGAAGATGTGCCATTGGACCGATGTCAACATGAGATCTTGGTGGATCGTTGCGCTGATAATGACGTTTGTTTTTCTACCGTCCTCGGCTGATACAGAGATCATCGAGTCGCTGTCGAAAGAGTCGAAGAGGTTCGTGCGTTTCAATACGGAACAGAAGACTCAAGCTGGATCTTTCATCAACGTCCCGATAAAATGTCCACCCGATAGAGTCCTTATTCAGAACAGATGTAGGGCTACGTTCTGAGTATTCAGTGTTTGGTGAGTACTTTCGAGATGATAGAGTAACGAGATTTAGATTCATGGGTATAGAAGATAGAGGAAATTTTGATAGGATGCAGTAGGTCTGCATTCTATCAAAGCGTCGATTTTTTATGGGTTTACGAGAATTTGGAAACATGAGTCGCGTAGTTTGATCTGTGAATGATTCGTTTGAACGGAAAGGGAAGAAAATGGAAGCTGTCTTTGATGGCTGTTTGCTTCAGAGTTCAGTGACCTCGTTAAATAGAAAAGTGGGAGATATAAAATATGTTGGAATTCTTGGAGATAATAATTTGAGTTAATTCGTTTGAGATGTTTATAAATAGAATCGATGAGATAAGAGTTTGTAACCTCGTGTACTGTTATTTCTGTTCTAGGTGTCTGCCATCTGATCAAGTACTGTCATTGATTCATCTCTGAGAGTATACGTAGCAAATAGCGACAAACGATTCCCGTTTAACAATTCTCAAGGATTAGTTGAACTATTATAATTAGAATACTAGGCGTAATTCGGAAATAGCAGTTACGATGCATGTTAATCGTAGTAGTAATGTAAAAATCAAGGAAATACAAAAGATTTCAGAAACTTCTTCGCATTTCTTTGATTTTTAAATCTTCGTTATTAATCGTTACACTTGTATCCTCTAAAGCCTAGAGGAATTGATATCTCACTGTTGAAATCAAGATCGTGATCTATATGACATGCGTCGGTAAAAAAGTTGCAGAAATAATTAATTAATTTCACATAAGAGAACAATGACAATAAATCAGGATTTATGGACAAAAACAATAGAATATATGAATATTCGAAAATATACATTCAAATAATAAACGTTTATATAAAATTATCGACGGCAGATAATTTCTATATTAATACACAATGGATAAATAACGATGCACATTAAAAGTAGTATTTCAATGATTCTTTGAGTCCAACTTAATTGAATTCTCCACTCAATTTTACACTGACAATGCTACGTAGCTTGCCATCTTATCAACATATGATTTTGTATATATGTTACATTGTTAATTTAACTACCAACGGGAGATACGATAGATTCGACATGCAAAGTAAATTTTTGTCATATTGCCCGAAGATCACGTCGTCCACAACCTTACCAACAGAAGTACAAATAATTACAAATAAATACAAATAAATAAATAGAAAACATGTTTTTATTTTTTTATTGCATTCTTCTATATACTCGTAATCTCTTATAGGCATTTATCAGAATATTAAACGGAATTCGAAATTTTCAAGTACAGTACCATACGAATACTAAAAATGTCCACAATTTATTTGCGTAATGTAAACGAAAATCCTACCGTTCTTCGAAAAATTGTTATAACAGGAAGAACTAAAGCTGTCACAGTATGTAATCTTAAGTCGATCCTGTTTCTCGTCGGTAGAGTCACGTAATTCTCGAGCCACGTATCGTCGGTAGAAACCACTCGTAACGTAGAAATCTCTTTTACCAACGTGCTCGCGCCCTGAATAAGTCGGAATTTGTTTGGTCGATAGTGGAAGCAACATTAGTGAATATTTGTGACTCGTCACGATGCGGGTTAAAGAACCGGATTGAAAATTAAATTGTTTCTCGAACTCCAAGAAAAATGAGTGAATTATTAACGCAGGACTGTAAGGACTATATTAAACCTCGGAGGAAAATGAAGCTCGATGGAAGAAGGTACGCGATATTAGAAATATGTAATTTTCTTTTAGTTTATGAAAATCCTATTTCTATTGGCAGATGGGAATACCCGATCCCGAAATCGACAGGATATTGGGAGAAATTCTGCGACGATGAAGAGAAGAAGTTACTCGTAGTAAGAGATCCTTCCAATCTGTCCTACAACTCCTTCTTTAAAGAGCATTCTAAACTTCTTAATTTTAATACTCGTGTTTCCAACAAATCGTCTAATATAATTCCTCCATTGAAATCTCGCGCAGATAGATCCGTAGACTCCGAAAGCTCTTTGCACAAATGGCCTCCGAGATCAACAGTGAAGTCGAACAGACCTCGCAGCAACGATAAAAAATTATTTCCGAAGTCAATATTAAAGGTTTCACCTCAAGCTCCTTCGAAAAGTCCAAGCTCATCGTACAGTCCAACTCCAGCGAAAGTTAAACAGATTCCAAAGCTAGACAGTCTGATCCCCGATTCCGACCTCGACAGGATTCTTCCCTGTAAAACCGGTCGTGTTGACTCCAGTATCCAAAACGACTCAAAAGCAGTTGAAAATTCCTCCGACTCGTCTCTCCCAAAATTGGCACTTCCCACCTCAAGCTTAAAATCCAAATTACTAAAAACGAATCGCTTAGAATCAGCTGCGAAAGAGATCCTTCCAGAAGTGAAACTTGAATTCTCCACGAACGATCTGTTAAACGCATACAAGAAAGCATCGGGGCAACAGGAAGAGAACGTTCGGAGGCCAAAGGAGGATCAAAGCTCATTAAAATATTCCACTCGGAGTGCTTACAAGGCGCTGAAGCGTGTAACAACGAACAAAAGATTAAACTTCGATCCGGAAACCGTGTTCGAGCCGAGTTCGCGTTCGGGCGAGGAGGGAAGGGTGAAACCGAACGGATCCGCGGATGCAGGGAAACCCGGAGGGACCGCCGGGGAATCTCCGCGGTGCAAAAAGTCGCTCAAGGGTTCGCAATTCGCCGGTATCGGTGTTCGACGCGAAACTTCGAAATTGGAGGCGTCGTCGTCGACGATTCCCTCGGGGTCGCGTTCCACATCAGGGCCGAGTCCCCGATTCGCGCGCCTCGAGCCGTGGGAAAGTCCATCTAGCCGCGTTCTGTCATCGATCCCGAAACTGTCCGGCACCTCGCGCCGGCAGCAGGACAGGTGTTTAGCGTGTATACATAAATCATTCGGAACGGAGCCGGAAAGAAAGATTTCCATGCCACTTACAGCTCTGCGGAAGATCATAAATCCCGAGAAGATGCCTGTTGCGTCTTCCCCGCGCGTGTCCGAGGACAGCGACTCCATTTCCCTCACTTTGCCGGATTTCGAAGATGAGATGGAGAGAGTATTGAGTGATTTGCCTCGGGAACTCGACGAGAGGAAGGTGAAGTTCGATGAAACGCGTGCTGTTTCGGGTGACGGAACTGTAATGGAAACTCGAGACCGAGAGACGCGCGAGGAGGCGGCGAAACAGAGTGTCCCGGATTCGGGATCGCTGAGCTCGGAGATTACTCGGAAAGACGACAAGCAACGATGTAACGAGGAGTCTCTTTTTCCGAGCGAAACTTCGACGGACAAGTTCGAACGCGTCCCGTCTCTGGAGCGATCGAAACGGTCTCCGTCGTTCCACAGCGGCAGCTCAGGTGAGGAGGACTCGCTCGCGGTGTCGATCGACGAGGATCAATCGAGGCCGAGGTATTTGGCGGCTTGCCACGCGCCGACCGTTTTCGAGCCCAGTCTCGAGCCCCTGAGGGCCTTGAGGAACAGAAAACCGACGACGCTCCAGGATCGCATCGCCTTCCTGGAAGGCTCGTCGCTGAAGAAGAGCGCGTCGACCGACGACGAGGACGTTCGGGAGAAACGGACGTCGACTGGCAGGAATGTCCTCGATAAAGCTGAAACGAAGAGTAGCGCAGCGAGGACTCTGACGAAAGCGAAATCTGTGGCGGGTGGTCTGATGCTGGACGTCGATCGAGCCGCGAGTAGGGAATATATTTTGAAGAAAGGGAGCACTGTCGCTGATTTCAGTGTGCCAAGGGTTAACGAAGAGGATTCCTCCCGCGAGGCGAAAGATACGTCAGAATTGGAAGGTTCCATGGGAGAGAAGGTCGATATTCCGAAACTGGTAACAAGATTGCCACTCACCGATCCGAATGAAGTTATAGGGATTTTAGAGGGTATCCAAGAGTCGGCTGCAGTTATGCTAGAGAGGTTGTGCAAAGAGTTCTCGGAGCGTCTTTCGGGAAACGTTCCCAGCGATGACTCGGTCGCGGCGAGTAACAAGAAAATGATTACCAGCCTGACGAGGTTGTTGGTAGACGCTAAACGTTATTTAGACCCCGGCAGGTTCCCCTCTGACTTGGTGTTCTCCTCGAACCAGCCTCCCCCGTGCAACCCCCAGCTCCTGAAGCGAATCCTGCCCGAAAAATCCTACAATCTCATTGCGCCTTTGCTGGGATTGCCGGTCTCGCATCCGAGGCGGGAGACTCCGCCGGAGCAGAGCCGCCATATCGATCAGAGACGTGTCAGCGGGGCGACCGACGGTGACCGCAGTTCGGCGTCCTTAGAGGCACGTTTATCCGTAACCGGTGGCGGGCGAAGGGAGTTACAGGAGGAAGAGGACGCGCGAGAGGAGGATGCGTTCCTCTAAATCGCGGATCGTTGCTGAACCAGGCTATTTATAGTTTAGCGAGTCGCTCCGGTTTACCGTGTCCTTTCAAAGACGGTTCTTTTTATAATTATCAAGGTGCACCCGCCGACGCCGGGAGACAGGGAATCACTCAATGGCGAGGGGAAAGTGGGTCACCGCAGATACAATCCTTACGCTCTATTTCTGAGGAAACCGAGACGCAAGGTATTAACGGAAAGGATTACTTCGGGATGATGGGGCAAGGATGAAGAGGAGATTCCATCTTTCCTCCCCGCCGTTCCTTTCTCACCTTACTTTTTTTCTCACGCGTGCGCGTTAGGTGATTACCTGGCGCCCTTTGGAAACAGCTGATCTGGAGGGCTACGACGCGAACGCCACCCTCGAAATGAGGGCTAACAACATTATGTCGGGGATATGCGAGGACTTCTGCAGGTGGCTCGACACCCTGGGCGGCGGCGACAAGACCGTCGACGAGGAAGCGCTGAAGGACATGTTCGAAATTGATTTCAACACGGACGCGTGCAGGTCGATGCAGGTGAAAGAGATACCCGCGCGTTCCGCCCGGACGGTTTTCAGCTTGTTTTGCTCGCTCGTTCATCACCGGCGAGCCTCGCTGTTTATTTTGGCAGGTGTTTACAAAAGCGGGGAACTGATTTGCAGATGCTCCTTCTGATTGTTATTTTATTCCATCATCGTTTTCATTCGCGGAGTTTACCGAATTCGGTTGCTCGCGGACGCAGCTCCCGCGAGTCGGCCGACGCGTCGATCGTATGGATTTTCCGCGTTCCCTCTCGGCAAGTCGTTCGCCTCGATCGTCATTCGGGAGAATAATATTTGGGACAGTTATCGATTAGACGGTGCACTTTCTGCTTTACGCTATTGTTTATTTTTCCGCACTGCGTTGAACTGTTTTTATTCTACGGTTGTCGGCTTACGAAAAGTGTCTCTGTTATAACCGCATTTCGAGTTTGTATGCGTTCCTGGGAAATTTGGAAGCTCTTTCTATCGAATCAGGTGTTGGTTCAAGAAGCGCCGGTGGTGCCGACGGAAGTAGCATTAACAAGAAACACGCCAGGCGCGAGTAAACTCGCCATGACGAAGAAACACGTGATGAAAGACGCGAAAGCGGAACATACTCCCGCGAGGACGACTGCCTTCGGAACCGCGGTACCAGGGGAATTGCAGTTCCGCCCGCCGAAAAATCGAGTTCATACGAACTGGCTTCAATGCGATCATGTTCCGACTGATCTGGAAACGATGGACGTGGTTTGGAACGGTATCACGCATTTGAAAAGCGTCCGAGGATTCGTCGAATGGCTCCAACAACACCCGGAGGTAATGCGAACGTCAGTTATCTGTGAAATCTAACCCCTTCAAGCTTGATTTTTGTATAGAATTATGTTCGCGTATCTAACAACAATCGGCCGTCATCGAACGCATCGCCGGTAACGGCGTTATTTCGAATGAAACAGTAGTAGCGTGCTACCTTTCACAGAAATAGTGAGAAAAAATGACATTTCTTCCGTTTTGTGGCATTCTCATATGCTCCCAGGTTTTCAATGATATTTAAAATTTAGGTAAACTGACAGATTGGCGAGAGCAGGATTTAACCCTTTGCACTCGAGACGCGACTCTCAGTCGCCAGATGATTTGATAGAAAATTATAAACCTTGCTATTTACGGTTAACCTTTATATACCGCATCAATGCGTGAAATATTGAAAGAAAATAGCTTCAGTTCCCTAATTCACGTGTGATTTCTTAATAAATTCATTTTAAAGAATCTCGTCTACATCTAGTTAGAAAGTATTGATCATTTCAAGTGAGAAACTTTCGAGTGCAAAGGATTAACCTTCGTAAGCCAAATTCACGATTAACCCGTTGCCCTATGATTTATTTCTCAATTGTGATTGGCACAACTATCTTATTACTAATCATTTATCAAGGAACAAGTTTCGATGCTTATTCTATGCCTTTGTTCGAAAGATGAACGATAGATAATAGAAAAGTAGCATTTAATTTGTTTCAAAGGAATAGATTCATCAGGTCTAAAATTTCCTTCACGGTCTGGCGCGGTATTGCAGGTCAAGGGGTTAACGCTGAGAAGTCACTTGAATGCTGGACATATTTCATACGAGAAGCTCGTCCAGCGTTTCTCCATTTGCTACGATGATTTAATCATCTTTTAGTTAGCGAAACCTTCCAACGCAGCTCGTACGGACCGAAATCGGCTCGGGTCCGTGCATTGTCGAAAGCTACAAATCGGCGACCTGGTTGCGGGATTCACGGTAAACGCGATCTAACGGCGCGTACAGTAACGAACCGATTAATAGAACTGCGCTCGGGAAAATTCAGCGAATGGAGGGGCCACTCGAAATATTACCGGTCGAAACGCGGACGATCGCTCGAAAGCGTCAGCTTGTCGCTCGCTCGGTGAATTTGTTTGCGAACGGACGTTTGCGTGCGCCGCGCGCGCCCGCCGTTTAGAGGCGGACGATAATTGGAGCCATCGCTTCCGAGTATGGCAACATTATGCCGGGACGCATCGAAATCCTCTTACCTTCTCTGTTGCAGGTTCCGCCGCCGGATCCTTTAAAGACGCTCGTATTAATGGATATTGAAGCTTTGAGGCAGGTAGAGGACGACGAAGGGTTCGCTCATCTCGAGCTCGATATTTATCAAATTAAGAGTCTCAGAGTGATAGACACCGTCAGACAATGAACAGACGAGGATCCCCCGCGTCGTTTTACGCTGCCGATGCTCGACTTAGTCTTCGGCGCGCACAGTGGAACATCGATCGTTCAATTTAACGCCTTCGCGTATTTGCGACGCGCGACGTTCTGTACCTCGAATAAAGAACATTAACTTACTCCCGCGTATGGTTTTGTGGCGACATTCTTCTGAATTTAATTTTCATCTTTTAGAAACGATTTATCGCGTTTAACCTCTTGCGCTGGGAATTCAGAGATTTGGAGTCGCGAAGAATTTTGTTTTTATCTATTTCGGTGTGTTTTACTGTATATTTTAGAATGAATTATAAATTAGAAGTCCGTGAAATTTAAGTATCACGTAATTAAAGCGTCTAACGGCAGCTCCGAAATTCTGAGCTTATCCGCGGCTCTCGTCGGAAGTCTGGCAAGTATCCTGGAAACGTAAGAATCCGAATGATTCTATGAACAACCGTTAATCGGAGTACAATATCTGGAAAAACACGGGAGCAATTATTCGACTCGTCGCCGCGCGATTATCGAGTTAGGCTCCGCCTGCTGTCCGCGAGCGCGTTTCTTCCGTTTCAACTTTACAGCGTTAAAACCGAATGATCCCAATTCCCCGCGTAATTTCGCAGCTCGCCTCGGCGCTTTCGTTTCGTCGCTTCGGAACGCATGAATATTTTAATTACGTTTGATTGCGCGGCAGTAAATGTCGCGGCGCATACGAGATGAGCGTCAAAAATGAACAGGCGACGCGCCGGCCCGCAGGATCTCTCGCCGCCTCCGCGCCGCTTATAAACGAGCGGAACGCGTCCGTGTAACCGATACGACCGGCCGATGACACGACGTCAAAAGCACCGGGCTCCGCGCCGAACGGCGGGGTAGGGGTCAACCTCCGCGGCCTCTACGAACCCGCGCCCCCGGAATTTCTGACGGACCGTCCGGTATCATTATTTCCGCGAAATATCAGGCATCGACCGTGTCCCGACCGCGCTTCCAGCCGGATAGGAAACACGGGAGCTGGACAAAATATTCCGGCTGTTTATTCGCGGCCAACGGCTTCCGTAAATATGCCCGTAACGTTTAATCCGGTTGGGTGAAAGGTCGTTTTATATTATCCGATCGGGCGGTCGGGTTTAGAAAACAGTTTGCGTTGTCCTTTTAGACACGTGTGCGGTTAACCCTTTGCACTCCGTAGGCTCCTCTCAGTCGCCATTCGATTTGGCGCAGAAAAACTGTGGAGTATAATGTTTAACCCCTTGGACTGTGATCTCTTTCTCAACTCGGATCGATACTTTGTCATTAATAATTTATTGGGAAAAGAGAAAAATTCTAAGCATATATTATGCCTGTATTTTCTTTTAAGTATAATAGTTGATTACAGAGGTATAATATTTACTTTGAATTCGAATGAACTGAGTAATATGTATATTTGTTGAATCGTGAAAATCTTCGCCACGAGTCTCACTCGTTATAGGGCAAGGGGTTAATGTTAAGTTTCCTCTGATGCATTAATATGTGAAATATTAAAATACAACAGCCTCTTTCTTGAATTTATGTACGATTTCTCGTGAAGCTAGTTTCAAGAAATGTTAACTATATTCTGATAACTTCTTGCTGCGATTATTAAAAAGATGGGATGTTTCGTTGAAAAATTATTGAATAAATTGATTTAGTGATATTTAGAGTTAGAGTTTTTATTTAGAGTTTTTCTAGAGCAATTTGAAAATGTCAATTAGACTGCTAAGCAGCTCTAACGTTAAAATTGTCCTGGCAAATTGTGTTCACTTACCTGACAACAAAGCGAACTCCTACGAACGAACCGGTAACAAGACGCGTGTTTTCGGTCAGTTCGACGTGTTGCCGAGGGAATTTGTTTTTCAAATATACGGCACGCCCTGACTCCCGAATTCCAGTGACACGGTCAAAGTGTTGACGCTGGATTTATGGGAACCTGTCAATCCGACGCGTATAAGATTTTATAAATATTACTCGACAGAAGGTCGAATCGATTCTGATTGACGCAACTATGCGAGAAGGTAATATAATTTTTCGGTTTTGAAACTTCAGACCTATATAAATAATTACTATATATATTAACTATATTATATATAGTAGCTATAAGTAGCTACTTTTGTAGAAACTAAAATTCACCCTTTGTACTCGAGAATATTTTTCTCAACAAATATTCATTATTTTCTCATTAAATATCAATGATATGTATCACAACTAACATGAAGAAACACCTTGTATAAATTAAGTGACAGTTTATTTCGATGTTCCATGTGTCGTTACATTATATAGAATTTTATATTGAATTCTAAATTTATTTTGTTCGGTCGAATCAAATGGCAATGACTCTCAGTCACCACTTGATTACCTACAGTGAAGCTATAAAGTTTGATATTTAATATTATACTTCATATAATGCATCAATCTGAGAAATATTGGCGTAAAATAGCTTTATTCGTCAATTCACCTGAATTTCTCGTCGAGTTGGTTTTACAAAATATCATCTTCATCTCATCAGAAAATGTTGAAATTTTTCTAGTGAAAAACTCCGGAGTGCAAAGGGTTAATACGATTAATACATAATCAATAGGTTATTCTCAACATCTTCAAACATCCATCGCATTATTCCAATGAAACTACTTCCAAGATCATTTTAAACATCGACTGTTCGTAAGACATCAATAATTGCGAAACGAATCGAAACCGATGATTTTGACTGTAGTTCTACCGTGAACGTGGATAAATCTATCGGTGATTCGGCAAGGTGAAACCGAAAACGGGGAAGAACGGAAAAATGATTTCTCGCGTCGGATGCGCAGGAACGGTGCACCAGCAGGCGCGTAGCGCGGCCGACATTCGCCGCCGCGAAGGAAATGGAAACGAACGACGCTTTCAGGCGAGGCGATAATAAATCCCGGTTCTAACGCGGCCCGATGTCAATCCAACCTGCGATCCCATTGACCGTGGAACGAATCGTCCTCGTTATTGCCGATGTCAATAATCCCAGCCGCCCCGCATAATGCAAACAAGACGTCGCGGAATATTGGAAATGTATCACAGAGCCCGGCCGCGGCCCGTTGTTGTTGTTGTCTGGCCGCGACAGCGAAGAAACCGGGATCTTGCTTCGCGACTTGAAGCCTGGGACACCGGGGGAAAACGAATCGAAAAGCGGCGGACACATTGGCCACTCCGAATCGGCCGCGTCCGCGATTTATACGGGAAATTTCGTTTCGCCTCGGTTCCTCGACCCTCCTCAATGAAAATTAAATATTCCGCTCACAGGTGGTAGCGCGATACCTCGACGTTCAGTCACAGAGGCGAACCAGGCTTTTTGTTGAGCGTTTTGTTTCGAGCTCCCATCGCGCGCATTAACGCTATAATTATTAAACGTGTCAAATCGCGAGTTTCAAAGAAATTCGAGAACGCGAGTCCGTGAATATTTTTAATTTCTCTTTCTCGAAACGTTAGGTTCTTGACAGTGTCGCTATAGGAATGAACTGTTAACCCTTTGCGGACGAACGTCGACACTATGGACAGATGAAATTTTAATGTTTGGAATGGTGTGATTAGTCGAACAGCGAGAGATCAGTTCCCTTTCCTTTCTATTAAACTTTCGTAAAAACTCCCATGTACTGGAAACAGTTTTCTTCATTAAGCAGAAACTAAAAGGTCAAGATTCTTCGTAATAGCTCTACTATCTTTCTCGTATACATCCAACAAAATTCGGTTCGTCCACGTTACCGAGAAAATTCATAATTAAGTTCACGTGAAAAATAGTGTCACCCAAGTTTGGGTGACGTGCAGTCGAAGTGTTAATTAAGCAATCGATGTATTTAGATTTCTGCTGGATGTCTTGTATATTTCGAAGAATCCTCGTCCGCGTAGGGTTAAGCTATCGAAGACGTTCGGAGTGCGAGGGGTTAATTATATTCGAAAAAAGAAAGTTCGGACATGAAATTCTCGTGTCAGGATGTTTTTGTTCGTTAACGTTGGTCTTTACGCCAGCCTTTCAAGGGATTTCCCAGGAGGTGGCGTCTACTGCGACGCGGACGGGGGAGGAAGGGGGAGGGAAAGACGGCGGTGGAGTAGAAGAGACCTTAAAAAAAAGGAGCAGAAAGGGTTTCGAAAAGGTCGACGCCGTTGAACGGCGACGGAGGGAGCCGAGGAGGCGGAAGAAAGACGGAGTCATCATTGGCCATTGGCCATCCGTTTCGCTCCACTTGGAATAGAGGCTTGCGCTCGACCGAGAAATTTAACAAGCCGCACGCTTCCGACTGACAATAGCCGACATTCTCCGGGCCCCGCTGTGCTCGCCGGATTTTAATTACTTTGACTTAACACTGGGTTCACGGAACGCGTTCATTTGACGCGCATTGAACTTTATAAACGTTACTTGGTAAACGTTCACGTGGATTGGTGCGATTGTAGGAATATCTATCTTAACACTAGGTCTGCGGAACGCGTCAGATTGACGCATGTTGGATTTTAGAAATATTATTTTGTAAATGTTTACGCCGATTTTGATTTTGAATGTTTACTATCGAATCTCCAGTTTCCACGATCTAAATAAATGAGCATCAATTCTTTTAGGAATAATAGAATGAAGTGTACAATAAATGCCCGTAAATGTTAATCGTGGATTTGTTAGTAGTCACTGATTACCGAAGCCTGTGAAATGTTTGGAGATCATTGCAAGGGAACTGATGTGAAAGTGTATAGTAGTAATTGGTGTGACTTAAGGACTTTGATGGCAGACTATTAATAATTTAATCTAAGGTCATTTGCTGTAAGCAATATTATACGAGAAACTCAAGATTCTCAGTCGATGACCTTTGAACTCTGGCTCCAATATTGCACCAGTTGTAATATTGAATATTTTAATGAATCAAAGAAACTACCCTAAAATTATTAGATTTCCCACACATCCAAATTTTGTACTGAGAAGGAAAATAAAAGATGGAAGGAATGTTATAGCATTTCTCATTTTCGCTAGGAATA